GTCGATATTCATTTTCTCATAAGCGTGCTGAACTCTGCGTTTTGACTGGCAGGATGTGCAACTTGCTGGAAGAAAATGTTCTGAACTTACAAGGCATATCAACATTTTTCTGTCTTTTCCGTCTTGCCCATCTTTTGCCTAATGCTGACTTCAGGGCAGTAAGTCAGTCATTTTGAGAAGCTGGCTTGCTGAAGCAGCATCGAAATGCTGGGTTTTGGGCCAATGTATAAAAGAGAAAGTATGCCAACCAGTGTACTTAGCTCAACTCCAAGCAAAGGACAGGTATTATAATGGAGTTCTGTAGGCAGAGGTACATGCCATATCCTTAAATACTCAGGAAATTGGAGTGCAAGAGCCTGAAAAATTTGTCCACAGCCATGATTCTTGCAAAGAACTTAATTTAAAAAAAAAAAAGAACCCAAAACAAAACAAAAAACCACACCACAAAAAAGCCCAAACCCAAAAAAACCAAACCAAACAAAAAACCCACCAAAAAACCCTGAACCAACCAAATTCTAGAGCTCATCCAGGTAGATTAAGGAAGCCCTTTTGTGAAAGGGTTCAGTTCCATTTTTACAGGGGTTATTAACTGATTTGTCTTGTTACACTATTAATATAACAGCCTATTTGGAGTGTTTCAGTCTGCTTACTCTCTTTTCCTTTGTGTAGACTACATTGCAGTAGGCTGCATCACAGTTTGCAGTATCCTTCGGGAAATGCTTTTTAGTGTTAAGTAAAAGCCTGTACATGCTTGTTCTGTAGTTGTCTGTTTCCTCTGTTTGCATCAAAGATGTGGAAAACTGTCAGTTGCTTCCTGTTGGTTTTTCCATAAGAAAGGTAAAGGCTTTGCTACAAGTTAACAGATGATTTTTGTATCTTTGTGTTCCTGTAGAACCTCTCCAAGTAATATTTGCTCTACATTACTATATGGCCATAATGTTTGTAGTAGGTATGTTAGGTCTACGGGAATTAATTCTGGTTGCTTTCCTGTGCAGTAACAGTGACTGTTAATGGTAATCAGTGTTTACTAAAACTCAGAAGTACTGTGCAAGATAATAGCAATTAGATGCCAGTGCTGTTAGATGTCTTCAGAAGATTCATTATGGCTTTATTTGAAATGCTGGTTTTTAGAATTCATAATCTAAAGAGTCTGCTTCCTATGAGGACATCTGTGGACCAGCACTTTAGCATCATTAGATAGGAATATGGAGTTGTGAAACGCTAACTAAAATGGCTGATTTATGGAAAACTTTATGCTATAAGAGGACCTGAACTAAAAATTCTCAAGTCGCAAAGCCTGTCAACTGAAGCATGGAGGTCTGATTTACAGTTGTAGCTTTTTCTTATTGTTGGTGTGTGCAGAATGCTCAATGTAGTTGAGGAAATTGTCTCAAAATGTGACAGGAGTGGACTGGCACATTCAGCTGATCTGCTGGGTTGCACATCTCCTTTGAATTTAGGTATCTAAAGAGGGGCAAGAATAAGCCAAGTCCTGGGAGTGAGGCTTACAGATGGAGGGACAGGTCTGAATGAGAGCAGTTCAATTTTAGGAACTGCAGGGCTGCTCTTGTTCTAGCATGTTGCAAACACAGTTGTGACCCACTAAGAAGATCTCTTCTTTACTGGACTAACTGGGCACCTGGTATTGTGTAGCTTTTACGTACTTGCAGGGAGACTTCAGTTAATGTTTTGATGTTAAAGGCCATAGCTGAATTGTGAAAGCGTTGTATTTAAAGGCAAACTGGGAGTCATATGGTAGCACACCACACCATAAAAAGCAATTAAATTGTGAGGTTTCAATATAGAAGGTAACTTTGGATATTGACTTGACAGATGCCTTACAGACTGAGACAGCTGCCACTTCATTATTCTACACAGCTGAAAATACCACATGTATGACAACACACTGTGCTGCATGACTTCTGAGCACAGACTGACAGGTCACCATTAAGCTAAAGGATCCCTGGACAGCACCAGGGTTGCCCATATGATGTTTTCTTCTGGTGCCCTGTGGAGGTACTGGCCCTAGCTGGTAAAGCATATGGCTGACCTAGCAGAGCTCTAGAATGAGCACTGTTTCTTGCAGATTTAAACCTGCTGGAATGCATGCTTTTCTGAGAGTCAGTAGGACGTGATACAGTAGATCTATGGCAGCCATACAGAATCACAGAATGGTTTGGGTTGGAAGGGACCCTAAAGATCATCCAGTTCTAACCCCTCTGCCATGGACAGGGGCACCTTCCACTAGATCACTTTGCTCAAAACCCTGTCTAACCTGGCCTTGGACCCTTCCAGGGAGGGGGCATCCACAGCTTCCCTGGGCAACCTGTTACAGCACCTTGCCACCCTTACAATAAAGAATTTCTTGCTAATATCTGATCTAAATTACCCTCTTTCAATTTGAAACCATTCCCCCTTGTCCTATCACTACATGCTCTTGTAAATAGTCCCTCTCCAACTTCCTTGTAGGACTTCTTCAGGATCTGGAAAGCTGCAACAAGGTCTCCCTGGAGCATTCTCTTTTTTCTGAGCTGAACAACCTCAACTTTCTTAGCCTGTCTTCATAGGAGAGATGCTCCAGCTCTCAGATCATCTTTGTGGCCCTCCTCTGGACCTGCTCCTGTCCTTCTTTCATAGTATGACTGATAGTTTGACAATAGTATCGAATTTCAACCTCAGTTGACCTTCAGAAAAGGCACAAAATGTGCCTCCTTGCTGATGTCTATGAAGACATCTATTTTCATTTGGTATTTGAATCCAAAGGAATAAAGAGAAAATGCAGAACATTGGCTACTCACCCTAGGTAGTACTGGAGGCTTGGTTAACTTTCACCCTTGTTAATGCTGGGCTTGTTATTCTGCATCTGCAGTGTACCCTGCTTCCGCTCTCCTCAACCTCACTAATCTGACTGTACCACCAAGCTCGTTTAACTTCCAGCTATAGCAGGCTTCTTCTGCTTCGTAAATCTTTTTGTGCACTAAAGTATAAGAAGTTGTAGACTGAAGGTTTCATGTATTGCTTAAAAGCTTCAAGCATTTCTGTTAATGAGAATATTTGCTATGATTAAGGAGTTAGGATAAGAGAAATACTGAAGAGGCAAAGTTCAGCTTGTGAAGAGTAGGGTCTATAGTTTTTTCAACTCCTTAGTCATCAAGATATCTAGCTACCAGGTTCATTGAACAACTGATTGTGTATTTTGTGCTCTACTTACATTTTTTTCAGGTTCCTAAGAATAAGGTAAAAAAAAAAAGACAACCCAAGGTAAAGACAATGATTTACTAATTAATCCTACTTTCTCTTTTTGCTGTCTCCTGTTGTCTTGGTGGTCTTAGTGGAAAGAACACAAATTTCAGAAGATGCTTTTGACTCTTGTGATGTGGGAATGAGGCAGGAGAATTGCTCCCCATCCTAGCTTGTATTTTTATTTGATTCTTGGAGCTTATTTAAAACATTTATGGCATGTGAACTGGGAGCTTTTAGTACTGGATTTTATCATTACAGTGTAACAAGACTGAATCTGAGCTAGCAGAATCCTGATCATTAATTTCTTGTGCTGTGCAGGTGTCTCAACTGTATACGTGTTCCTTTTGGCATTGTACTAGGTATTTGAAGTAATGGTTTGCGTAATACTGATTTATATGCCTAGTTTCTTATGGCCTACAGTAAAGAGGAATAATTTAGGGTTCTTTTTTTCTACTCATTGTTCACTTCTGTAGGCTTTTTCAGAGGAATAGAAAATGACAGCCAGGTATTATCTGGCTTTACTGACAATGCTAGGTCTCGAGTTATTTTATTGCAGGTACTAGAATCTGAACTGAGCCTTATTTATCTGCAGCTCAAATGTTTTAAATTATTTCCTGGAAGACTTCTTCCTTATATGTGCTATAGGTAAAATAAATGGTGAGTCAGAATATAGTCTACTGTGTTCTTAAAGTTGGGTTATTTTCCTTCTTGTGGCTTTTTTTACCTGCAAATATCTTTTTTTACCCGATTCCCTGTAATTAGAAACAGTAAAACAATTTGTTGGTTGTGGTCCTGTTGCTGTGCTCTCTGTATGGAAATACCAATTTAGTACAAGATACAAAAGTTACCTTCTCTAAGGAGCTGAGTGAGACTTGATCTTGAAATACCTGTTTCTGAGGACTGCAGCTGGGTGTTATGGTAGTCTTCCATAAATAACTACCAAAATAATGCCTGTAGACATCTAACAGTCAAAGCAATTCCAAAAGTAGTTATACAAGGCCATAGTATTGATTATTTTTTGAATGATTGTGCAAACTCATTAATTCTTCTCTGAAATACCTTTTACCACTAATTAAGCTCTTATGAGCAAGAAATTCTTGCTTATATAGCTAGATCTCTTTTCCTGAATTACTATGTATTTTTCTTGATGCAAATAGAAGTTGCATAAATCTAACTAGAGAAAGAAGCTGTTTTAAAAGCACAGTAGTTAAGTTACTGCTGTAATCGTGCGGATACTGCTGCTCACTCATGACAATGCCAGTTTCATCTGGCATTACAATCAGAGTTAAAAATACTGAAATATTATTGCTCGCTGTCAAACATTGACTTTTAATAGTGTGTTTTTCCTTAATGTTGACAAGTACAAGTTATGCTAGATTGCATTTGTTTTGTCTCCATAAAATAAGGAAGACTGCCAGGAAAGAAGCATGTCATCATAGAATGGCAGCATAGTGTGGGTTGGAAGGGATCTTTAAAGATCATCTAGTCCAATAGATCATCTGTATGCTATATACTGAAAACTGATTACTCTGTATTAAGAATCTAAATGCTCTTGAGAAGAATCTTGGTCTGTGTGTCTTTAAATTAAAATTTGTTTAAAGGTTTTTATCTAAAGTTTTTGCTTAAATAAGATTTTACATTTGCCTCATGAGGCATGGCAGTCAGTCTTCATGCCATGTGTCTTATGACTGTCTCTCTTGTCTTTCAGTGAATGGTAGTGTTTAGAAAGGGTATGTCCCTTCAGGAGAGAGGTGCCAATGTCCAACCGGCCTAATAACAATCCAGGGGGGTCACTGCGACGTTCACAGAGGAACACTGCCGGGGCCCAGCCACAAGACGACGCAGTAGGAGGAAGGTATGACTATTATCTATGAGTGTGTTTTAGTGTGTAAAAGCAAAATTTATGTGAATTGATTAGAAAATTTAATTTTTCTGCCCTGCAATGCAAGCATTGAAGCTTGCATAAAATCTTTTTGCTCCTGAATTGCTATCTGTATTGTTACTGCATGGGATGCAAACATGGATAACTCACTACTGTACATGTTTAGCTAGAATAGCAGTAGTGGATCTACGGGGAAAAAGTGTAGCTTGGCAACATTCCACAAATCACAGGTAGTTAACAAATTTCTTCCCTGTTTTCCTTCCCCGGTAACAAAAATATGGGGGGAACAACAATGAAATCTGGGAAAATCTCCTGTGTATGAAAAGACTGACAAACTGGCACCTCTCTTTTCCCTTGCTCTGCATGTTAATCCTGTGCAACTTTTGAATAACTCAAGAACAAAAGGTTTGCCATCCTTTAATATACTTTCACTAGTAAGCAGGTGAACCAAGTTGTATTTGTTCTGTAACTGACTGCTTCTGCCATGCAGAACAAAAGTGATCCTTGAAACTTTTCTGTGGATGCTGACTGTATAATTATTGCCATGTCCTTTAAGGAATGAAGAGTCTTCATGTGTGTGAGTGAAACCTATGTGGATAAGTCTGCCTTTAATTTTGTTAAAATATTAGTCTAATGAAGAAACATAGTATCGTGGTAGGCATATCTGTTTGTATTCTACTCCCTCAGAGGTGTTACTGGTGCAGTTGTTTGAGTATGTGTATCTTGGGCTTGGGTTTTTTGGTATTGGAGGTCAGTGGCACAAATTATAAAATGCTTTTTACTATGTAGGAATCAGACTAATGTGTAACAAAGATGAGTTGTATTTCTTACAAATATAACTGAGAATGTAACTGTTGAATACATGAAGGAAGATACCTGTTCTTCTAAGGAACCTTGGGGAGAATAATTCAATCTACAAAATGTAGCTTTGCTTTTTCTAAACTAGTATCTACTGTACAAATGAAAAAGCAGATGATGAACACAAGACTTCTGTCCTGGGCATTTGTAGCATAAGGAGGGGGAAGTTAGTGTCTTATGTAGCTGATTATTTTGCAGGCTAGACTTGTTTTTGGAGAACACCCCCCCTCTAACTAAAGCATAGTGAACCCTTCATTCCATTCTGCGTTATCGCTACATCTGAATGAATGTTTAAGTTAGATATTGCCCTATTGTATCTTTCCTTTTTACATTGAACTTGACTGGGGGTAAATAACACTCACTCTCTGAAGAGCTAGAGGCAAGTTATTGGGCATAGAGTGGGGGGGATGCTTCTTTAGATATCTACTCTTAATTCAGATTCTGTAGCAGAATGCCAGGGAAAAGCTCTGCAGTGAGCCAGACAAACTGAAAAATTTTAGGAGCAGCACTGTTTTCTTCTAAGTTACTAATCTGATGTTTTGGTGCATTGTGTGCTGTTACTTGTGCTATCACTTATTGATTCAAGGTGCAACTTGTCTTAAATGACTGGACCTCTTCCACCTTTCACCAAATCTGTGTCAGTCAGACTTTCATGAGTAAGAGTGTGTTACACTCTTGAACTATGTTAGAACTTTATCGGAACCAAAGCTCTTTACTTAAGTGAAGATCACAATCCTCTTTGAAAATGCGGGCTTTTTAGAACAGCACCTCCCTTGTCTTGCCATCTCGGAACAAGCATTTTTGGCTGGCAAAGCATTTAAAAAGGCCTGGATAAAGCACACTGGTTAATATAAACTTTATAATGAATTCAGTTTCTCTTACTGCCCTTTGTATTTCTTCTGTAGTAAGCTGCTGGGCAGAAATGGCTATTGTACAAGGAACAATGTAAGATGGATTTATCAGGTCCTTGAAAAATTTGTAGTTGAAATGGAAAGAGAGAGGCTTTCAGATAAGTTGCTTTTTCTCTGGTTGCCTGTCTTTAGACACAAACCTCGGGACTCATCCTTCTGTAATTAATTAGTGTTGCTTGTATAAATAGCTTTCTAAATGCTGAAAATGCAACAGTTTTTTTCTTAAAGTTTTCTTATGGCTAAGGTGTATGCATTTTCAAAATACAAGTGAAGTGACAAAAACTTGGAGAGTTTATGCAGTGTGTCATTTGTACTGTAATTTCAAATGTTGATGTGAGGTACGCTAATCTAATGTGAGTGGTGGTATAGGCTTTGGTAGTACAGCCAAATGGCCTTGTAGTGGCCTGAACTTTGCTTGTCTCCTGTGCTCTGACAGGAGTGAACACTACAATAGGCTTCAGTTGAGGAAGGTGTTAAAAAGGAGAGAGGCTGGAGAAGTGATACCTCTTCCAAGCTGAAATGCTAATATGTGTCTTTCTATAGTCTTTGACCCTTCTGCAGCTTAAAAGTCTTTTGTTAACTTGCTTGAGTGGCTACTGTTTGCTCACATGAAGACTCTGGAAATTCCAAGCTCCCTTCTGGCCTGGTATGTAAAACATAAATGCAGAATCTTCTTCCTGTGACATCCAATACTTGCAGATTTGGCTTAACCAGAAAGCAAGAATGCAAACCTGTTTTTCTCTAGGCTGAGGTTATTTGATGTCACCCTAATAACATCAATACTTGCAGTCAGAATGAGTGGGGGAAGGAATTTTTTGCTGGAGTTCTACTAGCAATTTCACAGTCAGGGCAGTAACTTGATATGAGCTTTGAGTGTTTGATTTTTATAGTTGCATTCATTTAAGAAACAAACGATGCTAGGCTCATGGACAGTGTAGAAAGATTGTTACAGCACAAATTGGAAGTAAACTTGGCATCTATGATGCCTGCTTTTCTCTAGAAGTAGCAAGGGATGTGTGTCTGAAAACATATAGAAACTGGTGAACTATTTCCCTCTCATGTGTGCATATAACCAATCTGGTCTTGGTGAGGTTGAACTAACATGATTCTTTGCTTTCTGTTGTCAGTAGTGATCTTGAAATAACTTTGTGCTTTGGATGACGTTCTGCTCTTGTGGATATTACAATTCTTACTGGCTTTACTACCAGATTAAAAAGTGTTCAGTGTTATCCTCCTAATTTAGAGCTACTGTTGTGGTGGCACCTTCCTAATTGTACAGCATGAACCCTTGTCTGAACTACTACTTCCAGCACATTGAAGGATGACTCTTTGCAGGTTTGTAAGGAAGCAGTAATGATGCTAAGGCTTCCTTTTGCAGCAGTAAACCAAGGAGGAGTGGGAAGCAGATGCATTGAGAGCATTCTTTTCATGGGAGCAGGAGGGGGGGGATGGAAGGTACTCACTGTCGCTTTCTGAACTCTGTATCTGCATTGTCACCATGTGTCTTGAAGAACTGTGCCTTAAGTTCCCAGTGATGCCATAGTATTTTCTTTGGATAGGAGCAATTTGAAAGTGATATTGTGAGGCATGCAATAATCCGTCTTTTTGAAAGTGGTGTAGTTGACTGTTCCTTTCAGCTGTGAGCAATATTTCATTATATTGGTGTGAAGTAATGGAAGTGGCCTTGTGTACTAGAACTGTTTACCAGTGTTGGAAAACTTTTTTTTTTAGTGGCATGAAATGACAGTGGTGCTTATATTTTAATCTGCATATTGTCACGCTTCTGAAATCTTCAGGAACAGCAGTATTTAAGTAGCATATCAGTTTGATGTGAGTCACGGCTATGCTGTTGCAGTTGTGTATGAAAGGATGATACTTTATACCAAATTTTAAGTTTTCAGCATAAGATATATACATGTTCTTGTGCATTTGGGTTTGAAGGCGAAATGAGAAATAAAGAGATCCTTGGTAGCTGCATAGAGGACCTTGGTATAAGCAGAATCTGGAAAACACTTTGGGCTGACCTTTTTCAAGTTCTAAAACAAGAAGAATGCTTTTGTCAGTTATACTACATTTATTCTGTACAGGATTTGGTTTTGGACTAGTCTTGATAATATGGTGCCATCTTACCCAAGACTTGTGTAAAAACTAAATTTTAAATTGGTGGGGAAGACGGAGTATTTCTGAGGAGAGAATGTAGGATTTTACACAGCTTATTTCATTGGTACTATTGCTTTTTTAATCTTGCTTTTGAAAGAAGTAAAAGGGTGTTTAGTTTTGTAGACTTTGTATTTGGAAACACTTAATACCTCACTCTCAGCTGTTGAGGACCATGACTTAGATGAAACACTGTTTATAACTAACTTCAAAAGCTGTTTTTTTAATATGCTCAGAGTGACTCTTTGAGGACAGGTTTTAGTTGGTTCTTTATTATGGTTTTGCTAAAGAAGGCTAGGGGCTGGTGGTTTCCATGAGAGTCTGTATAAGCACTGCAAACTAAGTGGGGGGTCACTTGTCCACTTCTGTATGTGTGTTATTCTCAACTGTCGACCTCTGAATTAAAATGTGTATTGGCAGACAGCTTTGCACAGCTGAGTGAAGCCTTGGAGTGGGTTATAAAACTGCCTTAAAGTTTGGGGATGAGCACCAAACAAAACCAAACACTTGAAGATTCTCTAAGCACTCAGTCTTCCTGGACCTGCCCCTGTGAATGGAAATGGACAAACACAAGCTCATAAATACTTACTGTATCATTCCTCATCATTAATGAGGAACTTAGCCTCTCAAAATACTTGTTGCTGGAATATTTAAATGAAGATTTTGAATGAATGATACACTAATGAAAAAGAATAGAGCTTGTAACAGGGTAAGTTATGAGTTAAAAGCCTTGACTTAATAGCAGAAGTGCAGGTATCTTACAACCTTTAACAATTCTAGCTTCCTATGCACCTTTTGTAGCACTTAGTTCTCCAAGTGTTACCCTTTTTGTTTCTAGCACATCAGATTATTCTGACTACATGTGTATGTAAGTTAGCTTTTAATGAGACCTTAAGCAAACTGTCACAACCTTAATAAATTGGGACAATGTTACTTGTTATTTGGTGTGTGGTTAAAGTTTTCAACTTAATCCTGTAGTCTCTCCAAATTGTCAGTCTACTTTCCCTCATATAAATCGTATATATTTATCCTCAAATCCTCATATATAGAGGAGTTAATGTCATGCTCCTTTTTAACTGGCGTGCTGCTGCGTGCACAGTTGCTGTTGTCTTATGTCCCTTGTCTTTGTGAATGATGAAATTCAATGAGAAGCAAGAGCACAGTAGGTCTTTAAAAATATTTTTTTTTAAAAATCCTCATTAGTCTTGACTTCCTAATTATAATGTTTCTAGTGTAACCTTTCTGCTGTGTTTATGACACAGTTATTTCTACTGATAATTTGATCGACAAAGAAAACAAAGCAAATGCAAATAGTCTGCACAATACAGTATTCATGATCTCCAGGATATAGTTCTAGCTTTATTGGTTCACATAAATTGGATGTTGGTATGAAACTGTTTATAAGACTTGTAAGGACCTGAAGGATTTAAAGGTGGAAGAAGGAGGGGAAGCCTGGTACAAGTGGAAATTCTTCCATGCATAATTTAAGTACCTGATGTTTTGATGTATTGGTTTAGCTATATTTTAGTTGAAAAGATCTTCAATAATTTGTGTTCTGTGAATACTTAAAAGCACTAAGTTGAATCCAGTTCTAATTAAAGCAAAACAAAAATATTTAAGGGAAAATAACCTTTAAAAATATACTTTAGAATAACCGCATCTTGCTTAGTTAGCTTACATAAAAAAATGAGATTCTTGCCAAATGTAAATTATGTAATAACTTCTGTTACTCCCATAATAAAAACATTTCAAGGGGAAAATTAAATTTTGCACCTTAATCTTTTGTTGGGAAAAGGAAAATACTCAGGTTTATGTGAAACATTCACAAGTTTACCTTGATGGAGTTTGCTATTGTGAGCAATTTTATTTCACTTGCTTTTGATAGTAAAAAATATTTTCTTCTTGTATTAGAAATAAAAGCAAATTAGTAGAGTATGGAGAATATGCTGTTCATTTAATCTTTTCAGACTCTTACGCTTTTAGGAAGGTGTGCTTTCATCTGTTTGAGTAACTGACGAGAATAATATGGAAAAATTTGGCTCTAAGCAAATTGTCATGTGGTTATCATCTAGGTCATTAGTCTTGGTATTTTTTCCTATTAAAGCTTATATTTAAGTTTCTGTTGAAATTCTTAAGAGGATGGGGAAACTTTCTAGTCAATAGCAGGCTTAGCTCTGCTGTTGCTACTGGATTTCTGGCATTTGGTTTGAAGAAGCTACTTGAAAGCTTGTGAATTCCTTGTACCTCTTCCACTTACTCTTTTGGCCTAAACCTTTTGATGTTTTGGGTCAGGGATTGGGTCTGGGGTCATGGGTTGGAGCAGGACATTTAGATCTGAAGTCTGCATTTCTCACCTTCCCCTGTATGATTCAAGTATGTTTGTGTAGCTCAACTCAAAGGACTAGATAGCCCAGGTTAATAGCATATAAGTATGTGATCAGCAGTTCTTTAACTTTGAACCATTGCTTAACTTGAAACATTGCTTCCAGTGTTAATACTAGACTTGTTTGAGGTTTCATAAAGGGTGATGGTGCTTGGGGTTTCTCTATAGGCAGGATATGAGCAGTAGAGTTTTCCTGGTTACAGCTGAGTCAAAAGTGTGTTTTATCCAGGGAAGTACAAGTGAGATGTCTCTAGCCTTAGCAATTATTTATACTGGTGTTTTAAATGCTGATGAGCCATCTTTTCTGAGTCTTGCGGATGGTAATTCTGATTGGTTTTGAAAGCAGATGTGGAATATGTGAAGATGTAACTTAAGTCTTAAATTTTATCTATGGTATAGTATGATCTTTGTCCTTCAGTCAGAGTTCATACAATAAACCTTTTTTCACATGCAACTGAAAGCTGTTTGGAAGACCTCTTTTAGCTTATCTATGTGAAACTCGTGCCTTTCCCTGACATCAGAGGTTTCCTATCTCATCTGACTGCCTGCATTTCCTCATTCCTCTTATTTCAGCTGTTACCAAACAGCTCTCAATCCTTGAATTGGAGGATCTGCAGCCAGAAGATAACTGGCAGGATTGAGCTTTCCTCTGAAGTAGAACTGATTGCATTCCCATTCCAAGCATTTGATTTTCTTAAATGGAAGAGCAAGGAGACACACTTAAATGCTCATAACACTATAAAGTCTAAATGCATGGAATCTTGAGGTTGATGAGTTTATTTCTGTTTCTGAGAGGAGGTCTTTGACAGGTGCTCTAGTCTTGTGCCTTACTGTGGTAGCTTAATGTTTTAAGTGAGTAATTCAGTAATCTTACATACCAGAAAAATTTGAATTTCTCTGCACAGCTCAGTTATGAGAGGATGTTTTATTCATTTAAAATGACTAAATAATTGTGTGCTTTACAAAACAGTTACACTGATAGTGATCTGTAACTGTACCAGGTGTTTCTTTTGAATTATTGCTTTAGTGTTAGGAGTAGATATGGAAAGGCTTGAAGCTGTAAACTACTTGTAAATGGTCCCCCCCCAAAAAAAATTTCCACCTATAGACTTGTATCTGTATCTTGGAATCCTGATAGCTTTCTGTTTTGACTTTCTGCTGACAGGTCACATTTAGGGCAGGCAAAACATAAGGCACATAGCCCTCCTGAGAGTAGGAAATCTATTTCAAAGACACCCAAAGTGCAGTCTAATACTACTACCGAGCAGTCCAAGGGACACTTTTCTAAAAGGTAATTGCGCTTCATATTCATATGTTAACCAGTGTTATCTGCGCTTCACAACTGTGCATAATATATCTAGTTATACAGAGTTCTTATGTATGACTTAATAGATTTTAACTAATCTAGATATTGCATTCAGTGGATGTTTTTCAGTGTTTCACATTCTGTGTTTTGTTTTTCTAATTCACCAATGAAGAGCATTCCATCAGTGATGGGGAGGAAACAATTTCTGCATAACTAGTCCTGGAATACTTGTGAAGTCTTTCTCCTCTTTTTTTCCCACTTCATATTGAGGAAAGATTGCCCAAGGCATTCTGAACAATGTCCAAAATTAATTGAAACGTGTACTAATCTGAAATGTTTTGTGTTCAGGGTAGTAATCTTTGTTCTTCATACACCTCTGCTATATGCACACTGGAACAGTTTTCTATCATGTAGAAGAGAAATTTGGCTTTTTTGTGTGATTTATTACCTCAATTTCATCTTTTCATTAAGAGCCTTCCTTGAACTAGAATCCAGTTCTGACTAGTTATGCAATACTCCTTACTCTCTTGTGGAACTTAAATTCTTAAACATTCAAATAATAGTTTCATGGCTTGAATTTGTTTTTTATTTTTAATCAGTTTGACATATCTATTAAAAAAATCAGTAAAGTCGATCCAAGTTACCTGACATTTTCATCTTTAAAAAAGACTTTTATTATTTTTGTTTTGCAATTTATTTTGGTTTTCATGCTAGCAAATATTAGCAATATCTCTATTCTCATACAAGCATGCTTTTTATTTGTTTCAATGTAAACTTAATCAACAGTGTGACCTGTGGTTTCCTTTATTACAGAATACTGATGTTTATCTTGTGTTGCAACTGTGATGTTTCTTTTGAGTTCAACACTAACACTGTTCCTCCTTACTTCTACAGAGGCTGTAGTTCATCTACCCTTTCAGTACTACAAGAAGAAGATTCAGAGAGAGTCAGTACTTCAGAAAAGCAAAAAACGGGGCAAGTGCCTAAGAAAGACAATTCTCGAGGAGTTAAACGCAGTGCTAGTCCAGATAACAGGAGGACCAATTCTCCTAGCTCTGCTAAAAAACCCAGAGCACTTCAGCACACTGAAACTTCCTTGGAAACTGACAAGCCACATACTAAATCTAAGAGAAGACACTTAGACCAAGAACAGCCGAAGTCTACACAATTGCCATCAACAAGCAAAGCTCACACTGAAAAAGGTGGAGCTGCTGGTAGCTCCCGAAGTCAGAAAAGGAAAAGGACAGAGAATCTGTCTTGTATAAAGGGTGGTTCAGCAGTTGAATCAACTGGAGCTGAAGAGCAACCAGCAAAACTCTCCAAGCTGGCTTCAAAATCGGTGACCTCAGCCAAAGCTGGGTGTAGCACCATCACTGATTCTTCTTCTTCAGCTTCCACATCCTCCTCCTCTTCTGCTGCTGCCTCTGCTTCTTCTACTGTCTCTCAGGGTGCCAGAGTGAAACAGGGAAAGGACCAGAATAAGGCTAGACGTTCCCGTTCTGCATCCAGCCCCAGTCCAAGAAGAAGTAGCAGGGACAAAGAACCAAGTAAAACAAGTGGCTCTTCAAAGTTTGACTGGGCTGCTCGATTCAGCCCGAAAGTCAGTCTCCCCAAGACAAAACTGTCTCTGCCAGGCTCTTCCAAGTCAGAGACATCAAAACCTGGACCTTCAGGACTACAGGCTAAGCTAGCAAGTAAGTTGTTGTTTTGTGGAAGACAAAGCATGTATGTTTTAAAATCAAGTCTTCTAAACAGATACCTTTATTGTTTTCAGGCTTATTAGGATCATCTTAGAGAAATTAACTTTTAGTGTATTCTGAATTTTTAAGTAAGCTGTAACTGAAACTATGGCTAAAGCATATGATTTAACTACAGTTAGTGTTCTATAAGTTTAAGTTGCTTTTCTGTTTTGAAAATCATTTAAAAAAAATATATGCAAAATTGTATTGTGATGGGCACATACACATTATGAAACTCTTGATTATATTCCTCCTGTCAGATTTTTTTCTTTCTGTCCCAAAGTGGGAATGATAAATGCTGGAAAACAAGTAGATAATACATGGTTTCTTGTTTCAAGCCTGCTTTCTTAATTTTTCCTTACTGTGAGAATCTCTGATATTTCTTTAAGAACAGTAATCTTGTAAACCTAGTGTGCCAGGTACACTGGTCACTGTATCTCTTAAATTGTTCTTATAAAATATGTTCTTTCTTCTCTGAATTGGAATAGCAAGTACTGTTCTTAGACATTGTCACTGAGAAATACAGACTGTGTCCAAGCAGAGCACCTGCTTACCAGTGTGCAGATATGCTTGTAGCTCTGTTGCCTTAAAGAAAATAATTTTGAAATGCATTAGCCTGTCATTGTGTAATGTATGATTTACTTACAGCATGTATTCTCTAAAAACTTGATTTAGGAAGTTGGATTCCTAAGCTTGCTTTACTGTTGTTCCTTTACCTAGACACAATCACATATATGGGGGCATATCTATAGCTGATACTAATGCAGGAAATACATGAAATAAAAGATGAGCAACTGGATGTCTTTCCGTATAACAAGAGTAGATTTAATTGACCTAACAGGCTTTTTGGTGGTTCATCAAAACTTGGTGAGTTTTGAACTTGCATGACTAGAGTATTGATTCTGGAATGATCTAACCTAATTGAGGAAGAATGGCACTGAGGAAGGAGAGAGGAGTTACTTTTTTTAATAGCAAGGCTTTACCTACTCCATTGTTCAAGACTTACTGGGTAATGAATTCCAGAGTAAAAACTCTTGAATTTGTGCAGACTGAAGTAAGGGGAAGTGGGTAGGAATTTGGCAAGAATAGAACTGATCAAATCCTTAGCTAAGTCTATCCTTGAGTTACAGGCAATGAAGAAAAGCAAAGGGAGGAGAAAGCATTGAGAAAACAATGAGAAGATGAAGGCAGAGAGTAATTTATGTGACAGGTTACAAAACTTTAAGCAAGGAGTGAGAAGGGGAAGGGTGGGATAGCACAGTGTAAGGGGAGATGTGTGTTGAGTAGCTTGAAAAACAGCATTGGGAAGATGAACCTAAACAGTCTTCACAAAGAATGTACTGAGAAAGCCAGCTTGACCATCTTTAGCTCTTCCATGATCTGAAAGTCGTCTATTGCAAAAAATCGAAGTTGCACTAAGACATTCAAGTATAGGTCACAGAACCAAGTTTGGTATGGACTGTAGAGATACTTGTGTATATATAAAAAGTCACTGCTGAGGGGCACAAAGCATGGTGAAAGACATTCCTAGACTCAAGAGAGATTAGTTACTTTCTATAAGTGGTATTACAATTTGAGAGGTTGGGAAAGTAGTACTAACAGGTGATACTAGTAAGTCTAAAAGGTCTGATGCCTCTTTATTTTACTGTAGGTTACATTAAAGCTCCAGTTGTGGTTATATCAAATATCATTGATCGGAGTAAGTGACTATACAGAGTATTGCTAAGAGTATGATCTCAACCTAGAAGTCTTAAACTTTCTGATATTTTCAAATAGTCTCAGCCTTTCAAATAGTGCATTAGAAATCTTTGACAACAGATGGAAGTGATCTTAGAATCAATAGTAACCATTGTTAGCTTAGCCCTTTAAAAAAAAAAAAAACACCACAAAAACCAAAACAAGCCTAAAAAACTCTCTTCTGTCATACAGCTTCATTAACTTGAAAACATTGGGACAAATTTTAAATATTTTAATACTTGTATTTAATAAAATACTAAAATGTGTGTTTTGGATCATGCTGAGATGTGTCAAAAAAACCATTAAAAACTAAACCTCAAGGGTAGGTTTTTCAGGAAGAATAGATAAGTTAAAACTTAATTTTCTGCAGCAAGCTAGTACCCTTAGAGGTTAAGGGAGCAGAAGTAGGTGATTTTTTGCACAAACAGTAACAGTCATAAAGCCTTCTAAAGCAGCAAGGCAAACAGTGATCTAGATTAAATTACTGAGGTAGACACCCCTCTACCTGGAAACATGTCCTTAGAAGGCATAGTAATCCTGTGTAGAAAGTAAAAGTTTAAAACTCGGTATATAGGTGTATAATATTAAATGGATGTTTGAAGAAGGTTGAAATAGGACTTACAGAGCTAAGAGAAACAAAAAGCAAATGCAAGCATAACTCTGGAAGGAGATGCAAAAACTTCAGGAGAAATGATGGGAAGCAGTTTTTTTAGGAAAAAGGTGGGAGGAAATAGGGCATTATTCTTGGTAACATACGGTCGGTCATATCTATATAAATACTATGCTGTTCACTTCTGGGTGTTGCAGTTCAGGAAGTACAAGAATGAATTACTAGTATTTGTGATTTTTGAAAGAAAAAACAGATGAGCTGAGCTGGCCTATTCTATGTAGGAGAAGACTGGAGAGAGACATGGTTTGCTGTCTTTGCAGAAGCTTTTCACATACTGGAGGGGAATACCCTGAGGTTTCTTCTCCAGTTCTCACTGGATAATTAATAGGTGTTAAATGCAGCCAGGGTGACTTTCAGTCTTCTGCTACAAAGCAGTCTTTGTAACTGAGCAGTGATATCACTGGCTAACAGCTACAAAAATTGTTGAAAGAATAGAAAGAATAAAAACAGGCTAGACTGAAGTCTTTCACCTCTATAGCTAAATATTTCTTGATGGGCCAAAAAAGGAGCAAGTTTCTCTTTGTTTCTCTCTTGATTTGACTATTCTCACACCCCTTTCAAGCATTATATTTTGTAGGGGCTTTTTAAGTGTTACAAACTGGGTCATCTCCCTGATTATGTAACAGTATAAAAACAAGCTGAATTATGTCTCCATTATTAGGGAATTCTCTACTGTCCTTTGTGTAGTGGCTTTTGGCCCTTAAGTAGGAAAAAGCTGGCAATGATAGCTGAGACACTGCTGAGAGAAGGGTGACTTAAGGTAGCTGTCCCTGACTGAGAAGCCTCTACCTAACACTTGAAGATTCGGGGGGCTGAAGAGGTTATTGTGATACAGTGAAAAGCCACATGGAGCATGAATGGTGTATAACTCCTGGCTTCAAGAGATATGGCAGATTTGAGAGAGAAGAAAATAGCTCTGAATTAGTTTATTTGGGTTTGTGGCTGATGGTGCTATTTGCATGAGGGTCATTAGAGCCTTAGAGTTGTGAACTTGGAATTGAGGAAATAAGATGACTAGTTTATAAGATGACTAAACTTGATTTAATTGCAGTGATGAGCTTTGTGGGGCTGGAGTCGAGCTGAGATGTCTGGGTTGGTACTGAGGGAAGGGCATAGCAGACTATTAGGATGACAGGATGTCATCTTGCCTTCCCCTGCCACCTTATTGTGTGAGAAGAACAGCCGAACACAAGAGCCAATCTGAAGTTTAAACTTTTAGTCCTAAGAAGTAAACCTCTACTGATTATCCTTCTGCACTGCAAGTAAAGAACTTTCCAGGTTATGGACTGTCATAGTTTGACTAACTCTGTTTTGGCCTGAGTGATACACTCAGACTTATTTTAAGTGAATGCAGTACAGTTGCATTCATAACTTTTCTTTCACGTAATAAAAAATGCCTTTAAAAAAATACTTACCAGCAAACACACTTAAATGTGAAGATGTTATTAAGATTTTTGGTTTACTTCTGTTAAGCTGCGCTGTTCAGGTTTAGCCTGTTGGGGTCTATTTTCCTTCAAAGTCATTAACATAAGTGTTTGGCATGCAAATAGAATTATGTCAGGGCATAAGCAATATATCTCTTTGCTTTAAGAAAACTGGTTACATCTGAAGTTTTCACAGTTGCTAAATGTGAACTTCTTAAACTTTTTAAAAAAAAAAACCCACCTTGTTTATTGAAAGTCTATCTCTGGTCATAACTTTTACTAGCTCTTTGAAACCAATCTCTTGACGATGGTTCTATATTACAGAAATAGTGCTGAATAAGCAACTTCTAGAGATGAACATCAAACCAATTTCCCTGAAATCCCTTGTTATGTTGTCTGTGTCAGTGTGATAGGTGCTGTCATCAGGTGATTACAGAGTGTCTCTGTTCCCATCTCTCTGAATGCTGGTTGCACCCTATTTACCAGTGAAAGCCTGGGGCTTTTTGCCTGCAGCAGCTCTTAGACTTAACTCTCAGCCAGGAGGCCATGCTGGCAGCATGTCAGAGGGAAAATTGATTTTGATGCCAGTGTGAGTGAAAGGAAAAAGGTTCCGTCCTGTGCTGAAGAAATTAGGAGTCCTGAGCTTATGGTATTGGGAAGACTTGGGATTTGCCCAAGATATGCAGGTGGTAAAACTTGTTAAGAAGCCTTCTTGAACAATGAATTTTAAGGGTAGAGAGTGGCATTGAGCAACAGGAAGGGAGCCGGCTTTGAGGAATCTGTTGTTGTTTCTCTTAGCCTTTGGAATGATTAGAGGGAGATGGAAGCTCTCTGTGTGCCCTGGTAGATATATCAGAGATAGAGAAATAGACTTGGGAAAAGAGAGCCATGCAGAAAGACCTGACAAGTAGAATGTTCTTCCTGAGCAGCAGGAAGAAATGAGCTCAACTCTTCTGGGTGATCTGTTCTACAGCTCATCTACCAAGTAGTAGCTGTAACTACATTCTCTAAACCCCTCTTTTTAAATAGATGGCTCAGCTAATTTAATGCTTCTTACAGAAAACGACAACCTATTTCACAGCTTCATTGCCCTACTGCTTCACGGTGTCTGTGCTTATCTGGCCTGTGTTAAGCAAGCTCAGCTTACCACACTGGCAGAATACTGATGGAACAATAAAGTGTGCATCAAGTGTGTGCTTTGTGTATCTTGGGATTGGTTTAAGGTTGATAAAACATGAGTGAGTGTACCATACTGGTAAACAACAGTAAGCTGTACTGTTGGCCAAAACCTTTGCCCTTAGCAGAGATCTTATTTTGATACAAATTAATTGTACTTCACTTATGGTGGGTGTGTAGTGTCTCTTTGATAGCCTATTACTAAGCTGATATGAAGTTATTTAATATTTAGTTCTGACTACTTGAAAATGAGTACCTACGGATTTGAAGTAGTAAGTGGCATAGTGACATAATTAATTAAAATGTATTTGTATATTTTTCCAGTCAACTCTACTGTAACAGGATGATTACCTTATTCTACTAAATGTAAAGTAATAGTACATCTCACTTAGTTTTACCATACTGTTATTGATACAGAATAGCCTATTAATCCATATATGCAATATGGACTTGAAGTGGTAAACATATTTTATAATACAGTGATGTAGTTCTATACCTAGTTCCATTGAAAGCATGTATTTTTTTTTACTGTAAAATATAACTGGCTGTGAGGGGAGTTTTTTATATGTGCACTTCTAGAACTTGAGAAGCTTAGACACCTATGGCATGGGAGCCTGCTGCAACTGTTCTAAACTGTCTTCTATCTCTATAACACACTCATTTTCCGTCCCACTTTGCAAGGATTTTACTATATGTAAATAGGGTTGAAGTCATTGTGTGCTGTAGCAACTTAAATTTTTGACTTGAAAGCATACATAGTAAAAACGCCACTGTTTTTTAAATATATATTTTTTTGTCACATTTCTTGAGTTAGTAAGCCAGGCGTATGGTAAATACACAAATATAAGGTTAACCTTCATCTGCATGGAACACAGGGCTGTGCTTCTGGGTCAAATATAGTAGTGTTTGAAAGTAGAGGCTATTGACCCGGTCAGTAGTAGCTTTTCAGATCACTTTCTCTTTACTGTTTAAATATCTGGTCAGAAGCTGCATAGTTAACACGTCATCCCTCAGTACCGCTGCTCAGCATTCCTGGAATGTTTTAGGATTAAGAAAATAGGAGCCAGTTTGATAGTACTGTGTTCAAAAGCATTACACACTTAAATAAGTTTTATTTATGCTTTATTGCCAGAAGGGGGAGCAGTGATGTAACTTTTTCATCTTTCCAAAATTACTTACATTTGTTCTATTAATAGTATGCCTAAGTAGAATGTTACGGGGTTCTCTTATTATGTATTGTAAGGGTGGGGGGAATAAAACTGAAAAAATTACAATGCAGCTGGTGAATAAGAAACTTTATGCTGCACAAATTTACTCAGAGATGGGAAAACAGATGCAGCTACCGCTGCCGACCTCCCCAATGTAATTGCTTATTGTATCTTTATCTGAACCTAAAGCATCTAAGTGTTTTGAACATCAACATGTAGAAATAATAAACTTGTGTTCTATAATGTGATATTTGTTTAGTATAAAAAAATACTTCTAAGCCTGTCTATAACTGTAGTGTGTAGGTTAGGAAAAGGTGTCTAGGTAACAACTTGGAGTTTAGTATTACTTAATACAATGAGTAAAAGTGAATATCTGAACCTTTCTTTTACTAGTTTAGCAGTTCAGTGTAAGATGACTAAAAGCTCATGTGGGCTTGTTGTTTTTATGTAGAAGCTGTTACTCTACACAGAAGTTTCCTCTACACAGAAGTTTCATTTCTTTACAGAACTGTGTATTTAAAAAAACTAATTTACTCTCAAATCTTTACATATTACATAGGTCTAAGAAAATCTACAAAGAAGCGCAGTGAATCACCACCTGCTGAGCTCCCCAGTTTGCGGCGGAGCACAAGGCAAAAGACCACGGGCTCCTGTGCTAGCACCAGGTAAAAATTAAAATAATGAAACACTACTACTGCAGTGGGTTGATAGGAATGTCATTTTCATGCAGGAAAACTGGCGTTGTCTATCTCTGCTATTGTAGAAGTAGCTGTAGCTTTTCAGGCCTGCTGGGTTACTGTGTGCTCTAGTGTCATGGATAGTGCACAGAATTTTTGTTGCTATCAGACCTTCAGTAAGTCCCTCAGCTGTGGGTGTGGACAGAAACACCCAAAGCCAATATTACAAGTTTAAGTAATCTTTTCCTTAGGAAGATGTTGTTTAAAAAGGTAATTAAAAGAGACAGTACTAGGCTACTGTCCATAATGAATAATAAAATAGATGGCTATTTTAAAAATTAAGACTTCATGGTACCACATAGGAGTCTAAGGGTGTATATTGTTGACCTGTCTGTTTGTCAGCAGCTGCATCTGAACAATATTACAAATATCTGAGTACTTAATATACCTTCTGATGCAGGGGAAAACCAGTCCTGAATTAATAATTTTAAACAGCTGGTAGATTAAATGGGAGGGAAGTGCAAATGTGTCCTGTGATGCAAATAATTTTTGTAGTTGCATATATTCTGAAGCTAGACTCTTGAAGCCTAAACAAGCTTTTATTTTTTTCTTACACCTCAACTACATTTAGGTGTCCCAGCACAACTTTTCCCTCTTTCATGCCATAAAAAAGCCCAACAAAAACAACCACACACAAAAACCCACAGCTTCTGAAGTTGGGTTTTGAGTGTGCATTTGAATTTGTGTACTTTCTAGGCATGTATATTTGTAGTGGTGTTCACAGTAGTGTTTAAAAAAGCAAATTAAAAAAGGCCCTTGAACTTTTTCTGGTACTGAAAACCAAGCTGAACATCAGTGCTTTCAATAGTTCAGAACTTCCTTTAAAGAAGTTTAGTCTGTCATTGAACTTCTCAGTTGTGTATGTGATTTGTAACTAACAGTCACTTTAATCTTGCTTAATTTTACTATTAGATTTTAGTCGACTGCCTTGTCTTGAAGGGTATGTAAGGACCTAGCTGTAATGCATTGCTATAAACAAATTGGAGCCATGGTTGCAGGGCAAAGAGGGTAAAGAAGAGTTGGATAATTTTGTGAAGACCGAATCTTAGACAAATCTGTTAGTTTGTGCAACTTTATGGTAGTCTCACATTAATAAATCTCTTATTTTAGTTCATAAGGTCTGAAACTTTGTTTTTTGAATATTTTAGTCGGCGAGGCTCTGGCCTGGGCAAAAGAGGAGCAACTGAAGCTCGCCGACAGGAGAAGATGGCTGATCCTGACAACAGCCAGGATGGAGTTAACTCTTCAGCTGCGCGTACAGATGATGCTCCCCAGGGAGCTGCAGGTAAGAAGAAATTCCAGCTGAAGCATTCTTAGTGTAGTTGCTGATATAAACTTTGCATTTAAAAATAATTAAATTGATTAAGTTCTGGGGAGAAGTTACAGAAGCTGGTAAATAATTCTGAAAGGTTTTTTGTGAGGGACCTTTACTTTTGAATCTGATCTCTTGGATATCTGGTACATGTTTCAGTTACACTTTTTTGTAGTGTCCAAACTATGTCCAATAAAGTAGACTTCAGTTTTCAGTCATTTACCTTTTTAAGTAAAAAAACCAAACATTTAACCTCAGCTGATACTAGGTAAATTACGGCGCTGCCAACCAAAGAGGCCCCAAACTGTTCAGAATACAGAAGAGATGATTTAACTGTAAAAGCTCTTTTGTAACTACTCATAAATTACAAGTTTCTGTTGAAATTGCAAACATGTCTGTACTGGAGAAATTTGTAACAAATTTAAATATCCTTCCTTGCACAGTCCTATTAAATGGTACTTAATTTTATTGTCTGGTCCTAATTAGTAGTGAGTTCAAAGGAGTTTTCCAGCAATTGTGCTGGATTATAAAAAATCTCAAATGTTCTCTGCTTAAAGCTAGCTATGTCAGAACAAAAAGTCAAAATTAATGGAAACTTAAGTGTAGCATAAAGCTTAATTAAAAAAGCATACATTTACTAAGGGTACAGCTAAATCTGTCTGAAAGGTTACTTGGTGATCTAACTGTATTATTCCATTATCTTGTGTTGATATAGCCTCTCTCTTCAGGTTTTTGGAAAGTATTAGACCCGTAGAGTCATCTATTTAAAATAACAATTGTTCAGAAGTATGATGGTAGCAGCATTAAATGCAGAGTAGAGCGCTCTTCTGATTGTGGGCACTTTTTCTCGGTAGTGGAATTGATGCAAATTCTGTAGCTTTAAAGCCACTGCAACTTGCATTAACCTGTTTTATTTCTTTAGCTTCTAGTTCTGTTGCTGGGGCTGTGGGTATGACAACCTCTGGAGAAAGTGAGTCAGATGATTCTGAGATGGGAAGACTACAAGGTATAGAAGTTATTAATTTACAATTCTTTTTTTTTTTAATTGTTTGCAGCCTATAAATAGCCATACCTACTCAAAGTCTGTATTATATATAATGTATTTTGTTACTCTGTCTGTGAATGTGTTGCTTTGCTTACATTAGTTCTGAAGTATGGAGTTACAAACCTTAATTCACTAAAGATGCAAGAATTTGAAAGTTATGTCTGGAGGGGGTGGTATAGTGTCCTTACTCATTTATGTGATGTATAATACACTATTGAGGGTTTTTCAGGAGGAGGTGGAAGGGAGAGAATTGAGAACTCAGTCATATTTAAGTGTGTACGTTCAAATATATTAATATAAGTCTTTGCAAGAATGTTTTCAGTTGACAGGCCAGGTTAGGCCTGCTGTTACTCTGCCTGCTTCTGGTTAGCATTTTGTTTGTGCTTGTCATTTGATACCTATATTGCTGTAAGCTTTGACCAAACAAAATCTAAATGTTCTTACTGTTTGCTTTTGTATTTGGGCTACAGGATTCAAGTATCTCAAAATTTAAGAGTACAGACAGGTATAAACTCAGTTTGCATGTCCTGCAACTGTTTAAGGATTTTGCCACTATACTGCAAGGAGTTCTGCAATCATGATATCCCTTGCAAATGACAAGTTTTGGTTAATCTGGATATTTAATATGGAATTCAGTTCCTGAAAATGTGAAGATAAGCTTAACCTGTTTTATGTAGTTTGAATTCAGAGTTGAAATTATAGTCTGGTGTATCTGCTATTCTAGATCTACTCTTGTAATAATTTAGTATACCAGATTTGTTCTGTGAAATATATAACTTGGGAAACTCAGTGGTTGAATTCTTAAAGAGCCTTAATGCTCTGGTGCATACAAAAATGAATTATTTGTTTCCTAAAGGTCATCTCTTTGGTGGTGATTAGAAATCAAAGTAGTCAATTATAGCATCATGGAATTGAAACGTGAAAAATATATAGAAGCTTTGACAATGGCTGTTATCCTCTGTTTGCTTTTAGCTCTATTAGAGGCTAGGGGTCTTCCTCCTCACCTGTTTGGCCCTCTTGGTCCTCGGATGTCGCAGCTCTTCCACAGGACAATTGGAAGTGGAGCTAGTAAGCAAAGTTTGTCTAATTTGACTTAACTCTTTCCACTTCCGGACTAGTATAATTCAGCCACTAGTAAATGCTAATATTTGTATTAGCTTCATAGGTTAATGTAACATTTTACATGTTGGAGATTTGTATGTAATGATAGTGCTAGACCACTGGTCAACAATATTAATTTGCTTGTCTTCCTATAAGGAAGATAAATTTGTTTTAGCCACATATATTTTCTTTTTTGAGGCTTTTTAATGTTCCATTTTAGGTGGGGAAGGGAGGGTTCTTGCCTTTTCTCCCCTTTTTCTTTGGCATGATGGGCCGCTTAACAAAAGATCTCTCAAATCCCCTTTGAGTTTTTTTGCTAGCTTTAAACAAATGCCTAAACTAGCTTTAAAACTTATTAGTACATGTCAGTTCTAAGGTATGTTTCTAGTTTCAAAAGTGTGTTAGGTTTCAGACAAATAACTTCCTTCAGACAGTGTGTCAGTGAGAACATGGTCCCTGTTCCTTAGTCTTATTCCATCATGTCTGCATTTGGCAGCTGGATAAGATGTATACCTTCTTGTCCAAGTTGGTTTGGCTTCCCAAGGGAGCCAAAGGCAGCCTGTTACACTGCCTGCTAAGAGGAGGATGGGGTCTCATGGATATACTTCATGTGCTGTTATCCAGGGGCTGTACTGAGAAGTCCTTTGCTTTATAAAGGTGGAGTGGTGTGGGTTTGGCACCTGCTGTAGGTTGACAAGATGGCTGTGGTGAACAGTGTGGTGGACTCCCTGTGCTGACCAGTCTGCACTGGAAAGACAGTCAAGTGTGAGATTTCTGCCTCCCTTTCATATCCCCTCCCTGTTTTTATGACAGGGAAAGGAAGTGAAACTACAAATACAGAGGAAAACAAACCATCTCTGGCCTTCCACTGTGGCAGAAGTGTAGAATAACAGTTCCCTTGTTTTCTAATATCATCTTTCCTAATCTTTTTTCTGGATATCTAGGTTCTAAAGCCCAACAGCTTTTACAAGGTCTCCCAAAGCCACTGATGAAAGTCAGCAGCTACAGGCAGTGATTGAGATGTGCCAGCTGTTGGTCATGGGAAATGAAGAAACATTAGGAGGATTTCCAGTCAAGAGTGTTGTACCAGCTTTGGTAAAGATTATATCTCATCTTTCTATTGGAGGAAATAATATTTCACTCAGTATCTTTACATAAGATATTATTTATTTATATATAAAATATTTATATA